GGGTCTCTCGAGACATTTCTCAGTAGCAGCTTCAAAGGCATGTGAGCAAAGGCCCCTGGAGGCAAGGGACTCAGTGCTGCAACCTGGTCAGGGCTCCCCTGTCCCCATGGGTATTAGACTGTTAGGATCATTTTTCAGTAGCAGTTGTAGAAAGGGATAAAATCCATGTGTACAGCCCTGCACACAAGCCTGGCCCTTGGTTTTCTGGAGACAGGAATACTGAGAGAGACATCTTTGTTTGCTGGATTTTTCTCCTCTTTCTCCCTTAACATTGTCAGTGATCATAGTTGCCCTCTCTGGCTGCTCTGGGGTAGGCCTGAGAATGTCTATGATTCCTAGGTTTTGTCTGTGCAGGACAGCATGGGGCAGGCTGGCTTTCTTTATTCTTGGTGGGCTGGGTGCTAGCCAGGGAAGAACCTGAAGCAGAGGGCAAGGGCAGGCTGCCAACTGCTGCCCAGGAGAGAATGCCTCTGACCTCTCCCCTCTGCCTGCAGGGTCAAGGAGGTATATAGGCTGGAGGAGATGGAGAAGATTTTCATCAGGTGAGAGACTCAGCCAGGCAGCTCTGGGTTTGAAGTGTTGGGGAGAGAGACAGGGGCGGCATGACCTGACGTTGGTAGAGATGGGTTAGAGTGAGGTGGGGCATCCTCCCTGGCAGGCTGCCTGTGTGGCTCTGCTGCAGCCAGGCACCCCACGTCTGAGCGCTGATTCAGTACACTGGCAGAAGGGGAGCCGGGCTGTCTGTCAGGCAGAAATATGGGCCCGTTGATGCTGTAATAGTTAGATTGTCCCTGCGAGGGGCAGAGCAGCACACTGCTTGAAGCACCATCAATCCAGCTCCTGGTACTGACAGGAAGATGAGCCTGGAGGGGCAGAGCAGGCACAAACGCTTCCTCTATTTCTGCGGTGTGCAGGGGTCTCATAGATCTCTGGGTCTGACCCCAGAGGTAGGGGTGTGTACTGTGTCCAGGCCCAGTCGCCCCTGACCACACCCTCTCTGGGGTCACCTTGAACCCCCTACATAGTAGTGGCAGAGCAGGGTCTTCTTGATTGGGCATTCAGAACCTTAGTTTTAGATGCCATGTGGCCTTGAGCAGTTCACCAAAGACTTGTGCTTCAGTTGCTTAAATTAGCCAGGCAAAGACTCTGGTTGATGTGGTTCCCATGCTAACCAGACTGATGTTCGTGCTTTCTCTCTCTCTCACATGCTGCGCATGGTGGTTAGGCTAGAGATGAAGACCATCAAGGGCTCCAGTGGCACACCCAAGCTCAGTTACACAGGGCGGGATGACCGGCACTTTGTCCCCACTGGTCTCTACATGGTCAGGACAGTGAATGGTGGGTGAGGAGTGATTCCCCTCCCTCTACCTTTCCCCTTCTTCCCCAGACAGGCCCCAAGTTTACCGAGGTGTTAATTGGGGTGGCCTTGGTCCCTGAGACAGGGAGGGAGGTGGGCTGAGCAGGTAGCAGGAGGTCCAGAAATCACACTTGGCCTCCCCAGTAGAGTCCCTTCCTTGGTGCCCTCTTCGAGGCTGGCAGGACTGGGTGGGACTGTGGAGAAGTCATCTTCCTGCAGCCTCCACCCTCCACCGCAGTTCTCACCTGCCTTCTGGAGAGGGGCCCTTGAGGGGAGGCACACTCCTTCAGTGGCAGAGCTGTCCCCCATGACTCCTTTGTGTCGTCTCTGGGCTCCTTTCCGTCTTCCTCCTACCAGAGCCCTGGACAATGGCATTCAGCAAAAGCTTTAAGAGGAAGTTTTTCTACAACAAGCAAACCAATGTCTCTACCTATGTCCTGCCTGCAGACTCCATTGCCCCATTTCAGTAAGTGCCTGCTCCCTCTATCCTGAGACCACTGGCAGGGGCTCCCCTCAGTATGTAGAGTGTGTGTGGTGGGGCCAGGACCTGCAGGGATGGTTGGGAGTCCTTGTGGGGAAAGGAAAGCATCTGTCCCTGTTATGGTGCTGTGACCCCACAGTGGGGACATGCTGAAAGGCCTACAGCCTTGTTCCTGGCCCCAGCCCTCCCTTGATAGAGCCCAGCATCCTTTTATCGGATTATCATTCATAGGTTTCCATGGCCCTAATGTACCTGTAATTAGCTGTTTCTGTCACCACACTATACAGCAGCAGAGACAGATAAATCAGGAATATTAGTAATTGTAGGAATTTACTTGGATGTAATTAGCTGCAGCAGCTGTTGGGAAAAACTGGTTATGCAAGGCAGACAGGAGGAAGACTCCAAGCAGGAGTCGTTGGCAGACATTCCCAAAGTCACTGCTCCCAGGATTGAGGTGGTTGTCTATAGGTGCCCTCTCCTCTTCCCCAGCATTTGCTACTGTAGCCGGCTCTTCTGGGAGTGGGGCGATGGCATACGTGTGCACGACTCCCAGAAGCTCCAGGACCCGGACAAGCTGTCCAAGGAGGATGTCCTGTCCTTCATCCAGTCGCACAGCGCCTGAGGGCCTTGGGCTGCTCACCCCGCTGCCTGCCCTGTCTTGCTCTAGGCAGGGTGCTCAGTGCCTGGGCCCCCTATGCTGGCTTTCCCCCTCCTCTTGGAATGGGAATGGAGTGCACTGTCACTGCAGCCTGGCCATGAGGCGGGCGGCCTCCTTGTCACCTCCCCTGAAGAGCACCATCTGGGGCCTCCAAAGGACACACACAGTGTGCTTCTGGGAACCCTTTGGGAACTGTTGGCCCTACAGCAGGTTTGAGGTCAGTGCCCGGGGCACAGTGGGCTTATGGAGGACATGTTGGAGGGTAGCAGGGCTTGGGCTCAGCTCTTCTGTCTGTAGCCTGTAGACTCACTTTTCTGAGTTCCATGCCCTGCCTTTGAAGGTGGCCACCCCCTGCTTGCCCAGCTTTTGTATTGGGCAAACTCTGAGTAGGGGGAGGCCTTTTGCCATGAGCTGGCCAAGAGGAGCTGCTGTATAAATTAAGGTTTTGTTTCTTTGAAATTCCTGTTCGGATGCCATGTTGGAGATTTTCTTGTCTCCTTGCCCTGTGTCCTGTCCTAGCCTTCCCAGTTCTTCCCAGCCTAGACCTCTGGCAGGCCCTGTAGGCCAGGAAGGGAGGAACAAAGGCCCTATCTCTATCCTTGACCTCACCTTTGGATCCAGGAAGCGCCTTCTCTGGATGTGACTGTCTTCTGGGGTTAGAGAGCCGCCCTGAGCCCCATCCTGTTTCATGTAAAATTTGGACAGTTGTAAAAGGGCAGGAAGCTGCTTAAAGACTTGCCATCATTTCTCCCCCAGCTTTGGTGGCTCCACCAGTAAGAGGCAGCCCTGGGGTCTGGCCATGGCTTTGGCAGAGTTAGTGAGTCCGAGACCGCTCCTCACTGCCTTCCGCTCCTTTGGTTATCTTGCCCAGGAGGAAGTGCCATCTGCTTTCCTCTGTACTTCTGTGGTCACTCCTGGTGGAGGGAAAAGGGAAGCTGGACAGTAGTTGGGGGTGGGGGGGGTCACCTGTGGTGGTTTTTAATGGGAAATACCTCTCTGAGATGCTCCTACTGGCCTCCCTAAGCCCCATCCCAGTGCTAGGCTGGTTTCCATGGAGATAGGGCACCGATTCTCCCTGAGGTTGCAATCGACTCCACCATGGGGGTCCTCCAGCCAGTGCCACCCCCACTCCCCTCCTTCAGGCAGCAACACTGCTGAGATGCTGTATTTCCACCCAATTCTGGGTACATCAGTGTGTCTTGCAAAATCTTGGATCATTAAAGATAAACATTTTTAAAGCCTGTGTGGCTCTGTGCGGGGGCTGCTGCCGTGTGTCCTAGGCGCGTTGTGCTCTGGGACTGGCATAGCTGAACTGCCTGGGCTGGGGTGAAGGACAGGAGGCAGGAGAGCAGCTTTGTTTAATCAGAGCCTAGTCCCAGGGCTGCCAGCAGGGCAGGAAGCACCTTCCCCCTTTCATGAATCACAGCTCACTCCAGGGCGACACTGACAGTCCATGACCAGCCTATGTGACTAAAATAACAGAGGCGTCAGACCAATTAGTGTCACTAGACCAGGAGGAAGATGGGAAGGGAGAGATGGGCCTGCTCACCCCTGGTCGTGCTGTCTCCTCCCCTTTCTGCTCAGGCCTTCCTTTGGGTGATGCCTACAGTTGGCCCCTTTAGATCCTGGCCCCTGAGGAAGATGACCCTCCTTGATGGTTCATAGCCCTCAACTTCCAGAGGCAACTCCTTTCCTGGGTTACCTAGTGAATTGGTCTGCCATGCCTTGCTCCAGCCTCCTGCTCCCAGCACCCAGCCTGAACCTGGAGTGGAACTGGGGGCTGTGCTCAGGGTAGCGGGGTAAATGTTCACAACTCCCGTTTTCCCCTCAGACGGCCCCGCCCCAACCATCTGTCACTGCAAAGCCACCTGAGTCACTGGTCACTGTTACCATAAGTCTGCCTGGTCCTTACCTATGGCTCTTGCTACCCACTGGCTCTCTGCAAAGCCTCACCAGTTCTTCCTGCCACACCTCCCCGGACTGCCTCATGACCACTTCAAGTTCCCAATTTGCCTTTCACTGCACAGGCTGCATTTTTCTGCTGTAACTACTGGAGGACAAGACAGTGTGCATTGGGGGGTAGGGGGGTGGAGTAGGGGCAGTGCCTGCCTTGTGGCCCCAGCACTACCTGATCCCTGGAATTGTGGCTTGGGAAGTACTTCCTGCTATCTCCCTATTTACCTTTTAAACAGAGGCTCACCTTCCCAGCACCACCCCCACCCCCCTTTAGAGTTCTAAGCCAAATGCTTTCCCTTGAACATCTCTTCTTCCTTGATTCCCAAATACCGCCCCCAGCTGCAGTCAGACCATGACATTTACTTAGCAGACAGGCACAGCCTGGTACTCTTTATTGCCTCTCCCTTGGGCTCAGGGAAGAGCCAGCACAATGTATTTGTAGATACCCAGGCCCTGTGGCAGGCCAGGGAGACAAAGGGTGCTGGGCAGACAGGAAGGCATGGGGGAGAAGGGTACCCAGCACCTTGGTCCTGACAGGAAGCTGAGCATCCCAGGCTCACGTGGTCCAGTAGACGTAGATGAGAGTCAGGAGGATGAAGATGGCTACAGAGAGCAGCATGTTCTTCCGGTTCTCCTGCCGAAGCAATTTCAGCTCCCTTTCTGGAAGGAAAGAAAAGGGTACTGGGATGGAGAGGTAGTTTGGGCCCCCTCTGCCTTTGTCTCCCTCTCTCAAGTGGGGAACTAACGATATATCCCCTCCCCACCACTTCCTTCCTTACCCCAAAAATGTCTCTTCCCTGACCTCAACTCCTCCCACCCTTTGAGGTACAGGTCTTGGCTTGGTAACCCTTTCTTTACAAATGCAGCTTAGGGTGAGGGTGTGATGTGCCAATCCTGAAAGCCCAGTTGGGAGGAGGCATGCTCATCCTTCTAGGGGGTCTCACCTGGCCTATTAGATCTGCAGGCTAAGGTCTCCTTAGGCCTGATAATGGGGTAGGTGCAGGGAGACCTCACCATTGATGCTTCCCTTCCACAAAGGTTCCTTGAGCCCGTACCAGGTGCCTAGCTAAGGCAGCAGCTGGGGGTGCTGAGAGGAGGCAGGCTGTGCCTGTGAGTCACTGTTGAGGAACTCAGCCCCATCATTCTGTAATCATCCCTTTCATGTGACACACAGGTGCCTGATTTGTGAAGACTACACCGAGTGCCAATGCTGCGATTTGGTATAAAATTGCTAGGCTTGCGGGAGAATGAATGTCTTGGCCCTACCTGGATGAGGGTGGGGGACAGAGACACCCTCAAACTAGTTATAGGCAGATCACATTGAGTCAGGGGTACCCTGGTCCAGCCTGTTCAAGGACAGGGGCATGTGTGTACTCAGTGCTTATAGTGTTCCAGACTTCTGCCAAGCTTCCTGCAAGCTGGGCTTTTATAGGATGATTCTTGGCCCCATAAAGAACAGAATAGAAACAGAAAAGTCTGAGGAGCCTCCTGAAGACTCTTTCTCCCTGGCCAGCAAGGCCATGGGTGGGCAGCAAGTGCCTGGCAGCTACCTCTACTTGGGTTCTACCCCCAGCACCCAGAAGGTGGCAGCATTGCTCCACCCACAGGAGCCCTCCCCACACCCAGCAGGAAGCTCATCTTCCTTCACCTTGGGCCCCAGTCCTTTACAGGATCTTCATAGGATAGAGTGGAAGACTGGAAGGGGAGTGAATGTACGTCTCTGGGCCTGGCTGCCAAAATGGTGCTGAGGGTCTGGTGCATATGCCCTTCCTCTTCCTCCCTTGAAATGAAGGAGCAAACCCACTTCACTCCCAGGCTCCTTGGGCTGTCCAAACAACTTCCCACTCCCCCAGCTCTGGAGACTCTAGGTTGGGGCTGAAAACTGAAAGGAAGTTTCTTACCATAATTAGAGGCTTTCCTCATCAAGCTGTTTCTGTCCTTCTCCAAAGACGACCTATGATGGACAGAAGTTTTATGGCCCCAGCCCCTTAGCCCCTTTCCTCCTTCCCACCTGAAGGGCAGCCAGCACACATGGACAGGCAGGTGGGGCTGGCTGGACAAGGGGGACGCAGGGAACTGGACACAGGTCTCCAAAGCAGGTGGGGGAGTGGGCAGGTTAATAAAGCATACCAGTGTGGGAGGGGCCTGGAACTGGGGAGCAGGCAAACACCCAGGCCAAGGCCAGTACATGCCCAGGGTCCTGGGGAGAAGACAGGTGGGGGGAAGAGGCTTCCTACAGTGGAAGCTGAGCGTCGGCCTCAGAGCAGAAGTGGGTGGGGGGCCTACCTGGCCTCTGGGCTCAGCTCTGCCCGGTAGAGCCTGTCGTTCACAACCTCCAGGTCCCTCCGACACTGGGACAGTTTCTCCTCCAGCCCATCGATCTGAAACAGTACATTTGAAATAGTCATTGTACTTCTAAAACATGGGTTGGAGGATGGAGCCTCTGCCCCAAGGCCCACAGTAATCTGCTGGCCAGGATGCCCAGGTACCTCTTGCCCAGAGCATCTCTAGCAGTCCTACACACATCCCTCTCCTGTGGTTCAGCTCTGCAGCAGCCTGAGCCCTTCCTGAGACAGGACTGTGGGTGCTGCTCAGGGACTCACAGTCACCCTGACCCTCTAGGCAACACGGGTGGGATAAGTTGGGACCAGCCCTTCGGCCAGCTCTGACTCCCTAGCATACTGCCCCAGGAGCCACCAGAGCGCTGAGGGTGGCACTGGGTATGAGAGGCTCTGTGCTTCCTGAAAACCACACAGCACTGGACTATGAACCACACAGTAGGCACTTCAAACGCACCAGCTGCTCCTCGGAAACTCTATACCGGGTTGCTGTGAGTCAGAACCGACTCAAGGACACACTACGAGAACAACACGTATGCACACACAATTAGTGTACTGAGCGGGAACAAAAAGTAGCCCATAAACACTGCCCATCATGGCAGCAGGTATAACTTATGGTGAAACAGTTAATGCTCCTAAAAGGTCGGTTGTCAAAGGTACTGTCTGCCCAGTTTTATGTTTTATATATAACATCTTTTGTAAATATAATTTCAGATGTGTTCTTGTAAAGTAATCTGGGCTGTGAGGAAATACTTTATAAAACATCGGACTTGGTTGAGCATTGTGCCTGTGTATCTAATTGTCCACCTCCTCCCTGTTGGCTAGAACCTAGCATAGGTGCAGGAGGTTCCATGGGCCCCACATCCCTAAGCTGGCTGGCTGGTGCCTTGGGGTCCCTGTAATGCCTGCGTCTCATTTTTTATGTCACGGGTTAGGGAATAGAACCTGCATTTCACAATGGGGTCCCTTAAGTGGGTGACTAGAGGAGTGCCCCCTGCAGAGGAGGTATTGGTGGCACTGACTTGGGGAAGCCAGGAGAGTTGCATTTTATGTCTCTGGGCCTTCTCACCGGTCTGTGCCCCTCTCCCCCTGGCCCAGCCCAGACAACACTCCCTCCACCCTCTTCCTGCCAGCCCCAGCCCCTGCCAACTCTTAACTGCTCAACAGGGCCCTGTGGGAGGGAGCAACTGTAGAGCCTGAAGTTAACTGTGTCATGTCTCTTAATGTGCATCAAAGGGGAGGGCCATCCTGGGAAACAGCCCCTGTCAGGAGATGGGGCCTGTGCTTGGGGAGGCCGAAGGCTTCCAGGAAGCTACACTGCCAGGAAATGAACATGGACGACACACAGGTTGAGGGAAGAGGAACAGAGGAGCCAGGAGGAGAACAAGAGCTTCAGGACCAATTCTCAGCTGTTCCAGGTCAAACCAGAATTACCTAGTTGGAAGCCCTGCTCGGGACACTTTGGGCCTCAATGTACCAACCAGAGTCTGAAATCCTTCCTCCATACTCACAAGCTAGAAGCAACTACACATGAATATAGTGTATGCACTTTGCAGATCACCCAGTGCAAATCTCAGTCCTGGGTTAGACTTTTCCCTGCCACCCTTCAGAGCCGGCTTTGCATGTCATTCTGTGGAAGGGGTAGGTTAGAAATTTTCATCCTTAAACACCTCTAGAAGGCTACCAGATACCCTACTGGCCCAGAGTGAGCCCAGGAACTCATGCTAAGTAAAATCTTAAAATTGAGGTTGGCACATGACAAGTGGCCAAGTCAGTCTGCCATCAGACTCTGGGCAGGACTTGCAGAGCTGGCAGCTAGAGGCCTTTATCTGAACAAGCCCGATTTGTCCTTGGTTCCACTGAATATCCAAACTTTCATTTACTGGTTTTTTAATGAGGCTTAAATGGGTGAACACAAATCAAGGTTTTAGGGATTCAAATTCTAACCTCCATCTATGAATATTTATATCCTGCTGACAGCACACTGATTCCCTTCTAAACAGCAAGTTCCCCTTCTTTATCACCCAGCCACTGGATGTGGGCCACTGAGGAGAGACTGAGTGGGCAAGCACATTCCCTGCAGCCTTCAGCAGAAGCCAGCTCTGGGCGGCCCTAACAATAGGTGCAGAGACTCCAGGTGACCTGGCTGCAGAGTTGTCCCCACTGGGGTCAGGAGTGGTGGCTGCAGAGAGGAGCTGGCCCAGCAAGGTTAGAAGACCCTCTAAAGAGACCTCAAGTTGCAGTTCCAGCCAGCTCTCAACCACGTGCTTAGATTATGTACTTTATAGTCAGTGCAAGTCTTGTTTCTGCTGTTTAGCTGTGAATCTGTACAGGGTTTCCAAGGAGGGGCTGCTGGGTTTGAACCACCAACTTTTCACAGCAGTCCTGTGCCACACCAGGAATCTGAAAGCAACAGAAGACTAGCAGGGATGAAAGTCGGGACCAGGAAGATCCTAGAAGTGCAAGGGTCAGTGCTGGGCCTGAAGCTGGGAGCCGAAGCAGCCTGGAACTGGGGCTCTGTGTGGCTCTTCTCAGGAGCCTAGGCTTGGCTCCTCACTGTTTTTATGGCAGGGCAAGGCTCTTAATTCTCTGTCTCTCTTTCCTCAGGTGTAAAACAAAGAGTATTTCATGTCTCAAAGAGTTGTTCTGAGGATAACAGACAACATACATAGGCAAGTACACAGGTGCCTGACATAGTAAGGGCTCAATAAAGTATCTGCTCTCATTATCATCAGAGTGGTTTTCACAGAAACTCTGAAAATCAAGTTAATTTTTGGCAAGAAGAGAGAAGTCGGGCATAAAGTGAAGTGGAATCTCCAATGGTCACTGTCTGGCTCAGATTTGGACCAGTCCTCTGAGGCTATGTCAAGGTTCAGCAGTGAGGGGCCCACACCTCCAGCTCAGGCATACAGCATACTGGGAACCTCATGATCCTGCCCAGAGGGAGAAAGGTGGGGTGGGGCTTGGTGTGACACCAAGGATGAGAGGGCTAGAGTGGTGTCCAAAGGTAGAAGAGATTTGGGTGTGGTCTGGGCAGCAGGGCATCTGATGACAGAATGACCCAGGGGGCCTAGCCTCCAGCTATGTCCCAGAATGAAGCTCAGACAATCAGGTCATAGGGACTGGACCAATTCTGTGTCCAGTGGGCAGGGAAGGCTATAGTCTGGAGGCTACAGAGGGTCCCAGGACTCCCACAAGACTAGCTGGAGAAGGGACTATGGCAGGAAGAGTTGTGGCAGGCCTGGGAATGCTGGCCTTGTCCAGCACTGGAGGGACAGCTTTGCTAATTGTGCCCATTATGGGCAAAACAGACGGCCAAGGTGGGAACCGCGACAGGCTCTTATTCAGGCCCAGTGTAGGACTGAGAGGGCATCCCCACTCAACCTTCCCATATGTAATAATGTAAGGAGCGACATATCTACATTTATCTTAAGGAAACCAACTGTTAGTTTTGATGGGGTAGTAAAAGCACAGAGATGAGAGCAGATGAAGTCAGGCTGCCAGAAGGGGAGCAAAGGGGCCACCAACAAGAAAGAGAGGATGCTGCTGAAGTTCCTCACAAGGTAGAAAACTTCCAGGCAGCACCTCCCAGAGCTGAGGCCCTGGTCATCAGCACACAGCCCACCTCTCTCTCTGTGTCTAAAGTCCCTAGCTGCTCCATCTCTCCACGTCATCATCTCTGCCTCCATCTCAAGCATCACTGCTTCTCTGGGTAGGGTCCCACTCTCCATTCTCCCTTGATGGTCCCAGACTAGACTGGAAAGTTAATCACTCCACTCCTAGACTGCAATGTTAATCACTCCCCTCCTTGCTACAAAATGTCTACCTTTACATTTCCAACCCTCACAATCAGGCCTGATAACAATTATTCACTATCATATCACAAGAAACCTATCCACATCTTTCATCAGCCCCGCCCAGACAGATTGGATACTACTCAGTGGAGATTCTACCTTCCTCCACACCCTCTGGATCTAGGCTCCCTCTTGAAAGCTAGTAAGCCAGCCACTTCTTGCCTTTGTAGCCCGTCCATTTTAGGTAGCCAATGTCCAAGTTGCCCATCCCTATCTACCCTGTGTATGGAGGGGTTGGGAATGATCCTAGCTGTAAAGATTTGTTCCCTCTTGAGCTACTGCATCCATAGGTGTAGGTCAAGTTCATCAAATTGTATCAGATTACTCGTTTTTTCTTCTTTCTTCTTCTAGTTAAGCTCTGATCCTCCAGTCATCGAAGCCAGGTCAAGTGGGTATTATCTGCTAGTGTGGGTGTTCTTATGCATATGCCCTCTCATCAGCTGGATGCTTCACTCTCCACTCTAGTCCTCTGTGGCTGTGTCACTGACTCTGGGTCAAAGAGTCCCCAGGTCTTGCCACACTGCTGGTCAACCAGGTCTACACCTGGGTTCGCAGGAGTCTATTGAACGTTGTAGGTCTTAGCTCGCAGCTTCACTGTAGCTTTTCCCTCACTTCCCCTTATCAATGCCAAACATGGTCACCAATCAGAGCGTGTATTCCCACTGAGTCTTAGTCTTGGAAGGGGTTTGCCCTAAGTGGTCCAATCTTTATCTTGATGGCAAGCATAAGCAACATGGAAGGTGGCTGTATGGTGCTCCCACAGAGCTTCTCCAACCCATTCCCTAAGGAGTCACTGTCCAGGGCAAGCCAAAGCTTCTGCTGGGAAAGGGAAGAAGGCACCCTCAGTGCTCAGCTTTCTTTCTGCCTTAGGCAGCTAGTCACCCTTCTTGTCCACCTTGCTCTCAGGAGCTGCTGGGATGGGTGTCCTCAGAGGTCAGGCCATGGTCATTGCATTGAGATCCCCGTGAGGCATCAAGGCATCTTTAATGGTAAAGACGATGGTGTCATGGAGTCTTGGGGTCAGGCAGTACTAGTCAAAGTAGTATCCAGAACCCAACAGACACTAACAGAACTAAACAGTAATAGCCAACACTTCTGTAGCATATACCATATGCTAGGCATGGTTCTAGTGCTGTATACGTATTAACTCCTAGAATTAATGCTCACAGTAACCCTATGAGCTGATTC